ATAGCTAAAGAAAAACTTTATGGCAGTGGTAAATATTAGATATAGAAACAGATCCACCTGCTACGTTTCATATATAAGGCAATTTCACTTTACGAAAGTGAAGTTCTAGAAAATTACACCCAAAGTTGGATTATGGTCTGCTGGAAAATATCCTGCAAATAGTTCTTGCCTGGACAAAAGGTTTCAAATAAGACTTTTAAATATTATTGAAAGTGAAAGAATTTTAATTATCTGAATGGTAAAAATTTGGATTTAAATAACTGAAGGTAGAACACCAGTATTCTCTCTTCTGATTTGTATGTCATGAACTCCAAAAAACAGAATCAAAAAGCAAGCTAGCCAAGCAAATGGTTTCTTTTTAGCAACAAAGGAGCTTGCGAATGAATCCTTCCTTATCCCCCTTGTGCTTTCCTATTTTTCACACATTTGTGATGGGCCCAACTGGTTGGCAACACCATGCCAAAAGAATAAAAGCAGTCCAGCACGTATGATTTACAGGTAAACTGGAGAGGGCCCGGAGAGGGCCCTTTCTTACCATTTCAATGCATCACACTGAAGGGAACATCTTAGATACAGCTGAAGTCTTGATGCTGACCTCCTTCCACTGGGTTTTTTTTAATAAAGAGGTCAGACTTAGCAAATGATCATCTTAGCTGTGACCATGAATTAACTGATTACAACTCCATTCCTCTCATGTCAGTTTTTTCCGTTAAAAACCCACATACTTCCAAAAGTATCTAAAATCCAAACACATTTGAGATTGTAAAATAGATACTGAACAGATGAGAGATACTGAAGAGCCCAAGCTGCTTTGTGACTATTGTAGGGGCTATAAAAGCTTTGCCCGTGCCTCACCTGTGGGGTAAGACAAATGCAGTGTCCTTCTCCCCTACAAAACCATTATAACCAGGGTCACTCTCTTCTTCCATAAATGGATGTTTTTCTTCCTCTCAGTGGGTGGTCTCCGTATCATAGTAGGAACACCACCAGTTAAGAATACAGGATGTCTAAAAGATAGCCCACATGCAAGATTATCCAGGCAGTGGAGAGATTTACAGATGGACAAAACAATGTACACACATAAGATGGATATACACAAAAGGAATGGACATATGTTCATGTTACTAGCAAACAAGGACATCCAACAGATACAACTGAAGGAAAAGGAGATGTGTAGTAGGTTTTCCTAAGAAGCCAATAATCTGCTATCTTCTATTACTGCTGCTTTGGGAGTTACGTATCATATACAAATGTAGGTCTAGGGATTTTGATTTAATTTCAAGTGTCTATACAAGTTATTTAGTGTTGTCAATTAGAGTTAATCATCTGTATTTATGTTCAATAAACTTGCCTCTCATTTGATATATTCCACAGAACAGAAGACCTGCATGTACCTATCAGTTAATACAGACTGGGTACTATAATCTCCCCTCTTAGACCAATTTCATTTATGTCACCAGGGGTCAACAAGTTTTGGGTAGTCGTGGTGACCAGCAAAGAAAGCATCATTGTTAAGGAGCGTTCTCAGCCTCATGTTATAGATTTAAATGCAGTACCCCTGTTCCCCTCTAGCTCAGAGGTAGCAAGGGGGTAAAGTTTCCTTTGGGTTTTCGCTTTGTCTGTACCTGCCTTTCACACCTCCAATGTCCCTCCCAGCTCAGAGAGCAGCAGACATGTGCAGGTTTTTATTTCATATGCACAACGCAAAACTTCACCATGGATAACCAGGTGTGGAGGGTTGTCAAAGCTGGACCTAGTGAGGTTTTCTGCAGGGCAGCTTATGTTTCATGAACAAGCTACTCTGAGAGTCTGTGGGTAGTTTTAGGGTTGTTCTTTCCATGGGTTGTTGTGTCATCTGAACCTAACACGGTGACTTTGCTGTCAGGAGTGACTACAGAGCTGCTCAACAAGGGTGGCAAAAATGGTGCTGCTTGCTTTTGTGATCTCACCAGTGATTGCCTTGAAATGGCACTTTGGAAGGACTGTAACCATCTGACTTTTTAAAATGTACAATTGGGATTAGATATTTTTAATAATATTATGTGGTTGGTCTATCACAAGTGTGAACTTACAGCTTGCCCTGTATGCATAATCTTTTCTGGTCAATTTCCTTGTCTGTTTTAGCTGTCAAAGGGAGGACAAGGCTAGATTGCATACAGGCATAGGTCCAATTACCAAGCTGTCAACTGAAAAGTACTAGTTATGGAAAAGAAATTGGCAAAATAAGGTACACCAAAAGTGTTTGTACCACACACGGTATCTCACCTTTTATAATGTAATCCTCTTATTTAACTGTTAAATGGACGGTTTCAGTTTCTTCCACCATTTTAACACTTCCATAAGTTTCTAGCTTCTCTAGAAAAGAGACGCTAACTCCTTTTTGCAGCTCCTTTCTGGTATACTGATGTCACGGTTACAAGAGATGCGCAGAGACTCTGCTGTGGGTTGGAAAATCTGCTAGATTTCCTTGTTTTGGCTTCCAGGACTCCAGTCTGCTTTACAGCAGCCTGGAGTCCAAGTTCCTGGCAAGGGTGTCCAGGGTTCACAGGGCACTCACAAGATCAGCTAATTGGAATGCTGGCTGGCATGCCTGCTTGCTGTGTCCGCTTTCCCCGCACACCCCTGGAGCTGGCAGTGAGCAGGGAGGGACGAAGCTAGGTAGGCTTCCTCATTGTGCAGCCATGAATGGCAGCTGGGGAAGATTCCTGATTGTGCAACCAAGGTCTGCAAATGGTCCCAGACTTTTTCTGGGCCTGTCTCTCTGGAAACAAGTCTGATGGGCTGGGGGAACCAGGTTCTAGAGAGGCTTGGCACATTCCTAGTGATTACCACAGTTCCCTTACAGATCTAAAAATAACCTGAAGTATTTAAACTAATGTAAAGGCTGGAAAGGAAACAGAAGGGAAATTTGCCCCTATTTAAGGGCTAGAAAGTAAATAGAAAGGAAATTTGCACCCTTGCAGGAAAACGCTCCAAAATCAAGCTATAAAAGAGCCAGAGGATATAATATCATCCCCTGCTGGAGTAGCTGTATACTCAGGGAATTGTTGCAAAGGTGGATACTGAGATCTGTCAGTTCAACTCTTTAAATCAAAAGGGTAACATTGCTAAGAGGGAACTACTGCCATACCACCACATCTCTGGTCACTTTCTTCCCCTTCACTGTTTTTCACTGACAACTTGGCAGTTGCATACAAATTAGAATATAAGCAGTCCCCCTTGTCAATACTGTTGTCTGTCATCTACTCCATGACACTTACTTGCTTTGGTGACTGAAACAGACAAGGAAATTGAACAGACAAGACTACACATACGAGACAACTGGAAGAGCTCACTTGAAAAAGACTAAGAAAAATAATTTTAAGCTTATGAGCACAGTTGTGCAGTTTTCTGGGAGTAGAACTAGTGATGAACTAGTGACACTCACTCAAAAGGTCTGGTTGGACATTGGCACAGAAGCAGTTGCTATCGGTGGCACAGGTGCACTGACGAAGAATGGCAGGAGCATCTGCTGCTCTTATCAAGCAGCTCCCTGTAACCCACAATGAAGTTGTTGTCCTGAGCATAGACAACACAGCTCATGAACAATCTCTAGAATAAGCCATGGATTGTCAAGGCGGCTTGTTCCCAAAAAATAAGCTATCCTGTGGGAACAGATCTGAGTTTAAACGACATAACACCACACTCTGGCTAGTTACCCATGTTGAATTGTGTTGTATAAACCAGGTCTGTTTGTACCCAATAATGTCAGAAACTGCTTATGGAGAAACTCTGGACAGCAGCAAATGCCTTGCATGCAGTAGCAAATTAGCTTTTAAAATTACTTGTAGATAAATGGCTGCTTAGAGATTGGGAGGACAGAGAGTGCTTCTATTCAGTTTTATTAAGTTTTTGCATGGTCATGGCCAGAGTTGCAATGAAGCTCTAGGGAATGTGCCCTTCAAGCATTCATGGATTTCCTCATGTCTTAGAAAGGAAGCTGGGCCAAGAGGAAGTCTGCAAATGTTTGTGGAACAAAAGTTGCCCAACAGACAACCTTCTTCTGTGTCATGTGCAGAAGAGGAATGCTGCTTGCTCAGCATCTGCACAGGGCTCCGTTCCTGGTGAGCACCACATGAACACCAGGTGTACTCACCAAGAACTTTGACCCATGGATGCTACAAAGTGGACCAGAATCCAGGGAGCTGAGCCCAGGAATCTGATGCATTTCCATCCCTAACATGGATTCTTCACATATCCCTAGTCATGGCCACTACCTGCTCCCCAATTCAACTATTTTAAGAATGAGGCATCCCGTGTCAAAAAAACCTATTAAACAAAACAAGTACACCGTATATCACAGTTGATACTTCTTATGTATGTTCAGCAGAGACAGTTAAATGGTGGGCTTCTTCCTTTTTAAAGAAATGTTTATTCCCCCACTTTATAGTCTGGCTCTTGTATATGTCCTGTTTCTTACTAATTTGAGGATGGAAGTTTAGCAGAAAGTTGGCACAGGCACTGAGGAACAGAGGTGAATTACACTGTAGCTACTAGAACTGGAAAAGCTGAAATTGTACAGAAACCACAGGGAAAGTTGAGTTCGGAAAATGAGTTACAGTAGAAATGTGCACACTCAAATTTAATCATGGTACAGAAGAGTAGCTGGGTGGACATGGATCAGAAAAGTATCTTCCCTTTCTGTTTCATCACTTCCAAGCATGTGAAAGCAGAAAATGGAACAGAAATTCCATTTTCCACAGAAATTGGAATTTCTGTTTTTCCACAGAAATACAATGCAGCACACAGTTGAAAAGTTATATAGCTGATTAACAGAATGTCTAAAAGTGTCATGGTACTGTATCTGAATCTGTTCTCTGCTCCAAGAGATGAGGCAACATTTACAGAAAGAAAAGAATTACTTATGACTGAGAGTAATACACATTGAAATATGGAAAGTTTCCCCATTGCACAACGATAGTAATGCTCATATGAATTAGGGCCAAGGCTTCCTTCCTTACCTATTATCCACAAGGAAATCTACTACGCATTTCTTCATGCAGTATAGATGAGCATCCATCAGTCCAGTCCTGATGTGCATTCTGGGATGCCTGGAAGAGGAATAAAAGAGAATGAAGTCACTCAGCTCTGCATTCCACAGCCATTTTAAGACTCTACGTTAAAATCACTAGATGGTAAAAACTTTACAAGGGACATCTGTGTTCCCAAACCCTTGCTGGGGAATTAGTGGAGATGTGAATCATGATGGCTTCCATGACTAGAATATATCATACAAACATACACCTGCTGAATCAGTTTGCCATTGGCCTTATTCCATAAGTGATATGTACTCTAGTCAGTGAAAGCTGATGCTACAACTAATCTGTTAATCTTCAAGTTGCCACAAGACTGTGTTGTTCTTACTTGTAACAATCGGCCTTGTTCAGGAGAGCTTTGCATTAAATGGAAGTATTTTATATTACATGAAGAAAATGTCTGATCTTGTAAGAACTGTAGAAGAATTTTAAGTCAAGGATCCTAAGACAGCATTATTTTGGCAGCTCAAAGAAGTGTGTCTGACTCTTGCTTTCCTCAGTGAACACGTACTGCAAGTCTATGGTGGACAAGGGTGGTGGTGGGGTCTGCATATTGCTAGCTGCAGCCTGATTGTGTTTGTCTGCATTCAATTTGGGTCTTCTGCCATTGAAATAAAGGACTACAGCTGGAGTTTTAGGGAGCCATTCTAACCTCCAAAGCCACTGGATGGTGGGTATTAGAATAGAATGGAACTGCCCTTCAACCAGTAGGTGGGAGCTCTACTGACAGGGGGCACATACCCCTTGGAAAGCCCCAGAGGCATATAGCTAGTGCTGGTGGTAGCTGCCAAAGCAGGGCTTTCCACTAGATCCAAAACTCTTCTGTTCTTAAGAAGCCCCAGAAAGAGGCTCACTGCCTACATCAGCAAGAATCTGGCACAGGGCAGCAAATTTTGCAGTGCTTTGTTTTTCTGTGGAAAAGTTCCTTTCATAAGTTAGTAACAATTAATAAAAGTCAACTGCAAATACAGTATTAGGCAAAATTGGCAGTTTCAAAATTATAATTGATTTTTTCATGTGATTGTTCTTAGAATTATGTAAAAGAATAAATATATGCCACTGAAATTATATATCATTATTTATTTTGTTCTGTTCTGCCCACTAGCCAAAGATTAATGGGAGGTTTATAACACCACATAATACAATAAAAATGCAATATAAAATCTAACAGTAAGATAACAGTAAAATATCATAAAATTACCCTACCAAATTTAAAAGCCAGATTTAAAACCAAATTTAAACAGCTATGCTCTATCAAAATTAGAGTGTAAGATCTGTAAGAAAGTTGATGTAACACCCAAATATATTATTTAGAACTGATTATTTAATCAGCATTGTCAAAGAGGATAGTTTTAACTTGGTGATGGAAGGACAGTATGGTAAACAGGCTGGTAGAATGCTGCCAGAGGCAGAAGAGGGTGGGGGGAAAAACAAGGCTGACATGAGCCCAGCGTTCGCACCTTTCCCTGAAAGTGTCCCTACAGATGCACAGCTGCAGGCCTCTGATCTTTTGAGTGTGCAACAGAATTAAGTAAAGCTAAAGCTGAAGCTGCCCCAACAACCTTGGTGGAGAAGAGTTTAAAACCCTTGTTGAAACATATGAGTAGCTATTCTTTGCATTGCTAAAAATAGTGTAGCAACAGTTTTCACTACTTTCCCCCTAAATATAACAATGTAAGAGAAGTACATAATATTGTTTTTAAATCCTTAGAAATGTTCCAATAAAAATGTATTCATTATAACACATGAATATAACAATAAGCGTGCTTAAGTTTCCTACTTACATGTTTCAGATCAAGTAACAACAATAAGTTATCATATATGGGAACAAAAAATTAACTTTTAAGGGTTTTTTTTTTTTTTTTACAAAATATAAGGTAAACATGGCCAATTAAGTCAATCTCTAGGGCACCAGAAAATTTTCCATTGCAAACTGAATATTGTCCAATGCAAATAACCTCATTCGAATTATTCTAATTCATATAGGACAATTTCTGGAAAACTCAAATTAATGAGTGTATGTAATTTTCATTTGTAAATTAATGAGTGCACGTAATCAATCAGGAGTGGGGGTTAAAAAAAGCACTGCTGAAGAAGCCTCTGCACTGATCCCACCTTAAGCACCATGCACCTTCAGGACTTTGTGTGAGCTCCTACCATTTTACTGCCCTACCCCAACTTAGGATTGTTATGCTGTAACGTATTACATTCAGAAGTTTACAAATTCAGTCCAAGCAATGCTTATTTGGGAACATTGTAATTTGATTGTGCTTTGTTTTATAAACATAGCTTTTTATTGTGTTTATTCGATAAGCAAGGACTAACACAAAAGGCTTAGTGTTTCAGTATAGAAGTACTATTCCAAATGCATATTTTAGGAATACTTATTCATATAAGGTAGAATTCATACTAAAATACTGCTATAAAATAATAGTAAATATGGGTCCAATGAGCTCCTTCATATTTTTATAGAATTTTCAGAAAATCCAGCCAAAAGCAGGAATTATGGCCTTTAAGTGTAAAGATAAGTTGTTTATATTTTCTCCTAATCAAACTGCACTGTGTGAAAGGTATCTGGTATGGAAAAACAGCTCCCAGAGAAGAAAATGGAAAGAATTAGTAGCCTGTTTAAATTTAGGGAAGTCTATACAGTTTTGAAACTAATGAGGGCTGTTTGATGCCCTCAAAGCTTCTAGCAAGGCATACTGCAGGTGCAATAATATGGCCTCTCAACATTTCCTAGGATAGTACATATGGCTTCCAAGGTCAGAGCTGGGTCTTCAGCCTCAGAGAGGCCTTCCACCTTCTTTTCACAACAGCTGGTTCTCCCTCTCCCTCTCCCTCCCCTGTACTGGCTAGACTCTGAAGAAAGAAGAGCATTTTTGGAGCTGGCATGTGGGGGTGTTCCAGGAAACAGTGGAACATAGTCCTCCTGTCTTCCACTGGATGCTTGTAATCCTCCATGTTTGTATGGTTAAAGGCAGTCACACTGGATGGTGCCTTCTATTCTTACTAGCTAGAATGTCCTCATAACTGCTGCCCCGTATCTATGGCTAGATTCAATATACTCTATGAACTTGCCTTTTCCTGAAACTCTACTGCACATTCCAGTTGTAATGGGATGATCTGAAGGGCGAATTGAACAGATAGCTACTTTACAATGCAGAGCCTTTGAGAAAAGATGGCAAACAAAAAGAAAATACATTGCAATACATTTTAAAAGGATTGTATGTTTTCTCAGTGACTTCCATGAGTTGGAAGGTAACATTTGATTATCCATATAAGGCAGAATTTAATCAGGGCTCACTGGGTTATCAATTTTGAAACCTCATGACTATCTTCTCCTCTGTGGAAGTAAAAGACAACCATTCAAGCAATTCTTCAAAAAGGACTTGCTTCAAGAATGAAGTAATTAAGCAATATATCCACTGAAAACTTTAGGATCAAGGAATGGGAACTTCAGACTCACTCTAATGATGAAGCAATATCTCCAACTTGGAATTGCAACTGCAAATCTGCCTGAAGCACAACATAAGCACAGGATAGGATGGCATTCACTTTTTAGAGGTTCTACATCAACCAACAGAAATGAAAATTGTACAGTGACACATTCAAATCACCAAGACATCAGATAAAGTGGAGTTTGCCTTTCACTTCAACATCGTCTGAAAAGGGGGTAGGAGGAGAGCACATCTAGCTCTAAAGAGAAATTTGACCATGTGTTTGCTGATGTGGTAACTGAAGGTGTGATTCCCCCCTCACTCTGCTTTCCCATTTTAAAAGGGAAACAGTGTACAAAATATGCCTTTTGCCAAATTTATTCATTGAAGGGCTTCAGCCTCGACCACTCTCCCCTGTCGGCCCCATTACTTTACACATGAGCTACACTATATTTTTCATACATATGGTCACAACATGTTTCAGGTTAATTCCACATGTTCCTTTGTTATCGACCCAGCCTGTCTTCCGACATACAACTGAGAACAGGATACATCTGTCTTACTGTCAACACACAACTGTTTCCTTGAAGAACCTTGAACATCCTCTCTGTTTTGAGACATATATGTCACCCAGAACAAAGGGAACCACTGTGTAAAATGCACCACTTCATTACATAGAGCACTTGGCAATTAAGTTACTGCTGGAGAAAACTCCCCCTTCTCCAGTTTTTAAAGACAGTACCTGAAGCCAGGAGGCTCATAAGAAGACTGGGGGTAGAGGGTTGGGAGTGAATATCTGCCTGAGAAGAAAGAAGTGAAGAAAGGTTCCAACCTGTCTCCTGATTTGAGCCATTATAGCTTCCTATAGCATGACTTGGACTAGAGACCATCAGGTGCATTAAGAAGAACATTTCTGTGATTGATGACCTGACAATCACCATTTTAAATTCTGCTAAATAACTGCAAAAGCAATTAACACAAAGTAACTCCCATTTCCTTGGATGCCACAGAAACCAAGCCCACCTCTCCTGTAAGACTAAAACCAGTCAAAGTAATCTCAACTGCCTTTAAATTGTAGAGTTTACAGCACTGAGATTTAAATGACTTAAACTTTATAGGTTTTTTTAATGAAAGAATAACTTTAAACTATTTATGTACTAGCACTAATTAAATTTGCCAGATAACTGGATACACTTCTTTGTCTGTGGCTACTATATTACTGGCTTTGGAAACAGTAACATGAAGGGGAAAGCAAAGCAAAAGTACAATAGGGCACAGTGTTTCATATCCAGTCCTTTCTTCTGCAGATAAAGGAAAATATATTGGAAAGAGTCTGGAATCATGCACTTAGACATTTAATTTCATGAATGGACAATGGGGCAACATAATTAGGGAGAAAAGTTAAGCATGAGAGTCTAAACAGAACAAACAGAAACTATACATCATCCATTGCATGCTTAACTTGAATACGTTAATGGTTCTACTTTTGTTTCCATTTCAGTTCTGCTATTTATACACATGTATCTATAGTCTGCACAACTATGAGTTTGTAGCACAAGTCTAATTTTACTCAGA